CAGCGACTTCAATATAAAGACATTTATGCATATAGGCCATATGGAAGTGAATGAAAACATGTTTCTGGGAGTCACACTGATGGAAAGTTAGAAGCACTGAAGTCTTGCTGGACTGAGCAGGGATATTTTTGTCACAGCTCTGATTTTTACCAGTGACCATAGCAAGTTTGACAAAGTTCATTAGGTCTCACAAACATGTAGGAGGCTGGTGTTCCAGCTTGACCCCCTACATTACTGTCCCACCTGACATAGTCTCTAGCATTGTACAGTGAGGGCACAGGTGTACTGTTAAAATTAATTTCGATAATACATTTATAATTTAACCATACCAATGTTTCCATATACAAGATACAAATCACTATTTTCATATAGATTAAATAAATGATATAATTAACTGACGAAATGCTAGAAAGACACTGGAGTCACTGCTCACTGTGGGAAGGTCTTCCCCTTCATCAAAACAGGAGAGTGGGGTCTCCCAAAATAAAAGTTTGGATTGGTATACTTACATCCATGTGCACGTGGCTATGTGTGCATGTGTGTTTTTCTTTAGTGGGGGGAAGCTATCATGCTTCTTCACACAAATACATTTCTAAGTACCTTAAAATGTGTAGTTTGGGTGAACTTCATTTTAAATCTGAGTTATAAATGATTTTCGTCCACGTGTTTCAGGATTCTCTAAAATCTGAACTTTTCTATCCACCTCATTCTGTTTTTTTTTATTTTAATAGGATTAAAACAACTACACCCCAGAGGAAATCTGTCCATCGATGGTGACAGCGTTTTCAACTGCACATACTTTTACCCTGTAACCCAGCTGCCCCTGACCTATAGGAATATAGGTCAGAATAAAAAACAAACAGCATTTCATTGAGTCTCACCTTTATTGAAGTTATCATGACCACAAGATAAGCAGGTAAGAGGCAGTGTTGCGTTACCGATGGGTTGTGGCGTCTTCAGGCAGAGTAGCAGGTTGAGGGGTGGGGTGAGGATGGGGGCTAGGCCCAACTGACCGATGCCCTTTCATTATTGCACTGCTTGCTGCAGCTCCCACAGTAGTGCAACAGGGAAAGAGTGTCAAGCAGAGGGCGCCCCGACCGACGCAGGGTGGTGTCCTCACTGCCCTCTTAGCTGAAGTCCTTTTGAATCACAAGTTTTTGACTCAGACTCAGTTCAGTGTTAAGGGAGAGAGAGAATACTGCAACATTTGGATTAATTTTGAATCTTAAATGAAGGAAACAAATCCTAAATAGTTTTTTCTGCAGCTCCTGCCTTTTACCCAAATGTTTAATCCAAACATTCAGTGATTTTTAACACTTTGCTGAGGAATGACCGAACGGTGGGAGCAGACTGAGCTGAGCTGCATTGCACAAGCCGCTGGATGAAGACAATCATCAGAGGAACAGTGATCAAAAATGAATAATTATATAGAATAATGATCCTATCCACTGCTTCCAAAATTAATCTCAGATAAATCTGACAATTTATCATGGGATTGTTTATTTTACATTGATCTTAGTCAATTAAGTCCATGATCTACTTTTCAAACAAGTTATAGAGATCATGACATTTTATGTCTGAGGGGATCACATTCTATCCGAGGATGAGGTGCCACTCACAGCTGTGGTCAATGTGGGATTTCACACACTGACACACACTATAGATGCACAGACCAGCCGGTGTCTTGAATGCTGTGTTTTAAATGCTACAAAGATAAGACTGGATTGAAGAAGTCTTACATTTCAAAATTTGGTACGAGCGCAATTTAGGTTCAGATTCTCATATCGCGATTCCGTCTTCTTTTGGGACAATCTCTCACTAGTTTGTAGGTCTTATATTCTGTCAATAGTGAAAGAATATTAGAATGAATATAAGGTGATATCAGTGATTAAGAACAAAATCCTAAATGATCAGGAGTGATTTGCCACACATGGGGTTATTAATGGATCAGCAAGGGGGGCAGTTTGCAATAGGCCTCCTGTCAATCAGTTGCTTTAAAAAAGAAAACAAGCTACAGACATGCACAGGTTTACTGTCTCTTTTGATATTTTAAAAAGGGGAGAGGTGAACAGTAAAGCTTGTAAGATTAGAGCTAAAGCATATTCTTCTATTAGTAACATGGCATTTCAAGGATTAGTCTACCTAGTGGCAAAAACAAACTTATATCCACTTATCTTTAGAGGCCATACAGTTTTTGATATAACTGTCTCTGAGATCCAACTCAAGAGAGGTGAATGGAAGTTCATTTGTGGTGCTCAAGGCATTTAATAAATTAAACCCTTAGA